AAATTTGTACGCTTGAGACCTTTTCGAACTCTTCTAGTCTGTCACTCTAAGCAGATCCTGCTGGCATCAAGTCCTCCATTATTACATTTAGCATGGTATATAGTGACAAGCATTATGTTTCGTACATATCATTCCTCTCTCTCTCTCTCTCTCTCTCTACCCACACAGTTATCATTCTTTACGAGAATACCAAAACACATGGCATCATTGTAAAGGTTGCCCTGCGAGAGCTTGAGGGGAAGTTCTTTTTTTGCATCTTGATATTCTTCAAGTCCCGCGCCTATGTGCTACCTCTTTTTCCGATCACTGGAAAACTCAACGAGGATTTGTACCTTTGACACTGAAGAACGTCTGAAAATCTACCCAGACAAGTTTTTCAGATCTGAAAATTGCTGCGTAGAAGGTTGAAAGTGAGGCTCGTGGATAATGGCCGTGAATACATCATCAATTATTTTTTTTAAATTAAAATTTCGGTGAAAAAGCGATTGTTTTGCTGGATTAAAGAAGAGCGCTTATTTATGTTCCAGCTTAATATTATAATTTCAATAGCGTAGTTGCGTATTTTAGCGTGCATCGGAAGCTAAATCTTTATTAGTCCGATTACGCTGTGTTAGATCTAGAACGGAGTTCTCGAATTTATAGCATCTAAGAACCTAGAAAAGAGCATTAAAAGGTCGAATATATGCTTTTATTTGAAGCCTTTATTTAAAATTATCAACTTATTAGCCCAAACTTCGACCGTTTTATTACCCGCACTTTAAGAGCCATTTCGCTCATAGGTTCGGTTCTTGCGCTAGCGTTGCTCTACATGTTCTGAGACAGATTTAGTGTCGATAAAAGGTTAGCTTCCTATACACAATTGAACGCTACTTAGATAAAGGAATATATTAATTTAACTCTATCTAACTGTTCAGTGAGTGCGCTGCAGCTTCTAAAAACTGATTTGCTAGATTCTTGTGAAGAAAATTCTTCTCTGATGATGGTCTGTCATTCAGATATTTTTAAACGCTTCAGAACAAAAATATCTAGGCATTGTTGAAGGAAAATTCCGCAAAACTCGTTAAATTTGCTGATCTGCTAGTACATTCGAGCAGCAGTTTCGTCATTCACTATGGATAAAATATGGGAAAAGTTCCATCATCTATTTAAAACGATACATTTTGTTGGTAGGAAAACATTTCTGGACAGATAGGCAGGACAAAAAAATGGGTCCCCGACTGTTTTTACTACTGTTATTTACTACGAATGGAATATATCGAACAGTAAGTTGAAGAACACACCAAACAAAAGCTGCCAGGACTTAGATGATTATTTTATAATAGGTCATGACCTTTTCCATGTCCTATACATACATACATCCGAGCATCATCAAACAAGCAAAAAAAACCTGTTTGGGTTCAGAATTTAGATGTTTTACAGATGTACGGGTGTCATTGTGGTCTCAATAATTCAATTGATAGCTGATAGCGTAGGTCGGTGCGGAACGGACGGGCTAATTGAAACGGGATAGATGCGAAGGGGTAACCAATAGCTGGGTACACAATTATGAGATAACTGTCTTCTCAAGACGCTGTAATAAATTGACTCGATCAAGGAAAAATAACTACTATAATCGGCTAGCTTCGGATGCGTGATAATGCAGTTACGCTATAGAATTTAAGGGAAATTGCAAAACAATCACTAAAAAACTATATCCGGAACTTTATAGTATTATACATATAAGATTCCGGATAACGCTTATTATATTCGTCCATATGAGAAGCAACGGATATATATATATATATATATATATAGAGAGAGAAAGAGAGACTTTGTTTGCTTTATATGTAAAGAGACTATGGTCATTATAAGCTGTTATCTCTAAACTGTTGTCTGACCGTCGACCTATTTTCAGGAGGATGGTTATAGCCGACAACGATCAACATATACCCCAGAGATTAGTGTTACTCAATCATGAATCGCTGTTGTCGTCCTTTGTAAAACCAATAAATGCTGCAGATCTCAGCCTAGGATATATTTGGACTTCATCTTTTCATATTACGGCAGTATGAAATCTGGAATTGAATATGTGTAAATTACTAAATTGGTCTCAGGAACCGTCTGAAGTCACATCCTTGTGCTCTGCGTCAAAGGGAAGATGATTAACCTCAGAGCAGTCTGTAGAATAATGTGGGAGCACATTATTTTCAGTTAATCTCCGTATAGAATTATCGTGATCAAACATATTACTATCATTTCCATCAATATTTATAGTTTGAGTGCAGCGCCATCCAAACCATGCGGACTGCTATCTGTAAACGCAACCCCGAGAGACAGGACCTCGCTGAGTAAACCCATTGGATCAACCCAATATCCACTACTGGGTAATAAACCATATCGAATCAAGGCATCGATTGTTCAAACAACATCTAAGCAGAGTACGAGCGCATTGGCCAAAGCTAAGGTACAACAGCTTTCATCACACACGAATAAAGACGTACCCTTTCAGCGTCGTAGGTCGAGCATACAGTTAGTTGTGTTGACCAGCTCCTAACAACGAAATTTTTCACAAATCGTCCGAGAAATGCCGTAAGCCAATAGGAGCTTGTGAAGTAGACTTTGATGTCTCGATGGGAAAGCGATGAGTGGCCTCTTTTTTCAATTGCAGCTCGTTAGCTCCTGACGCATGATGACACAAACGCCTTCCGTCTACGTCCAGCTAACACCAGATGCATTATTGTATACGCACAGAGCAGCCAACTAAATGCGCATTGGACGACTCATTCGGCTTCCAATCACAATCTATCGACGATGCCGAGTGCGGCTAGAATAATCCTGCAAGGTTCGAGTTTTGCCAATAGTTGCATAGAACTGTCGCTGCAAAACTTCTGCGATGCATTTCTATATCACGACGAGGCCTGGAAACGACTGGATTTCACTAGCGTAACTTCATCAACTTAATTCCATTCATTTTTGTCGTGTTGAACTTTGATTTTCAACTACAAACTTCGCCACCGATTTCGGTTTTCTTTAAATAAGACTCAACGACTTTTTTCGAACGCTTTCGGAATATTCCGTACATGTTACATTCGTTGAGGATCGACTACGAATCGAGTTCATGCTTGGCCTATAAATTTGATTTCAGGCAAGACCAGCAATCACGGTAAGTTGAAAATTATTGACAGAAAAATTCATCGTAGCTTCCAAAGGCTTTTCTATATTCATAGTCGTATACGTCTAAACCGTATATCGACTAGCATGACCTGTGAGGTCATGGAACGTAGCTTATTCCAGCCTTTGAAGTACCTGGCCTTCATGATGTAAGTCACTTGGTCATAGTTACGCTTGCAATTCAAATTATTTACATCGTGCCAAAGAAATTTTTGGGGGAAAAAGACCGAACGAAACTTTGTGCCATAGAAACTTGGCATCCATCAATAAAACGAGTGGCCCTACCCATGAAGGAGATCAGTGTGAGCAAGACTTTCGGCCGATATTTTGATGTAATTTTATCGAACACCCTTTTAAAGAACAGGCCGTTCCCACCTGCTGAAGTCTGTACCTACGTAAAAAAATTCTCGGCGGACCCATGCTGATATCGTATTCGTTATCATATTTCTGCGACCGCGGTGACATAAAGCAAATTTGTTGTTATCATCCTGAGTAATGAATTGCTAGCCCAGTGAAGCTATGCTGAGCAAACCTGATTTCCATCCTCAATAATGCTGTAGTACCTGCGCTGCACGAGAGATCTCAATGAGCAGTCACGTCGGACCCATCCACTACATAGTATCCTTACCTCGCGCGGACCGTTCGGATACAACGTAGTTTCCGGCGCGATTTGTAGACGAAGAATATAGACAATGGTTTTGAATCGGATCGTAGAAAAGCGAGGAGGTAATGTCGAAAGCTGTCTGTGAGCATTTTACAGCGAAGCTGCTCGGTCCGCAAGTAAGATACAACATTGAAATCATCAGACGATTTGTGCCGTTAAACTCCCTAATTCGACGTAACTAGAAAAGGCTGGTAAGGGCCTAGGTTGTTGCGAAGCGTACTTCGTTGACGTAACAGAGTTTTCGTTCTCTACCTGCGAAAAGTAGTGCCTGTATAAGTATCAGCATATGTTGTACAGGGTATTGACATTATGAAAGCGATAACAGATCACGTGTGTCCGGGAGAAATCATACCAGTTAAGTACTAGAATATAATAGGTTGCAAAAGAAATTGCTTAAGCGTAACTGATCTTCAAAACATCAGCTCTTTTTTAAAACGAGACACAACTGTAAGTGTTGTAGGTCGAGCAGTTTTCCTCGGAGCAATACTAACCCCCTGCGCGATTCCAAGGACTTGCCCTTAAGTAGAATCGTTTGGGAGGCAGCTTTTACATCACGCACATCTTTAAGCCTGTTCATCTCCGTTCATCTATCCATCACATGTCAAAACGTGAATGCTAAAGGCATTCCCAGATGTATAGCTAATTTTTTTTGGCCTTTGCGTATTTTACCCCATATTCGTTGCACTTGGAAAGCTGTGTTGAATAATAATAATAATAGTACATTTTTCCAGTCGGAAAAACAAAAGCGACCCGTGTTCATGTTGCGTAGATTTGAAGATATTTAAAATTAGGGCAGTCATGTTAGGCGCTTGTTAATCCTTGTCTGCACGAATCGATAGGCGTCTCTGCGTTAAAAAGCATGTTGCTGAAACAGTGGCTTTCAGAAACTCTTGCGTATCTTCGTCAATGAATAAGCTGAAAGCCTGCTACAACAGGGAATAAGTAATGCTTCTAGCATGTAGCTTGAGTGTCGCAATAAGAGATCATTTAAATTACAGCACCGAAAATGCTTGCTAACAATGTACACCTGCTGAAGTAACTGTTAATTTGTTTTGAAGAATTTTATTTTTTCAATGTATCTTTAAAATCAACAGTTTTTTTTTTTTGTGAGACCCTTGTAGCTCTAGCAAAAGGCAGCTTCCACGTGACAAATAAAAGAGCTGACACATTATTCAGCTAAGCCAAATTCTTATCTCCTGGTACAAGCATGTCACAGAGCAAAAAGGAGCTTCGTGGCCAGAAGGGTGTCAAGGTCGGGCAGAGGGGGCACAGACTCATCGCGCGCCACGAATATAGCTTTGATGCCGCTATGCTGTAGATAAGAATGATTTCAAATTTTACAGGTACCTTTCGACCTAGGTGTCCTCAGATCCTGCTTGCTAAGGGCGACTAAAACCGCTGTTTAACCCCTTTGATTTTCGGGTTCGTTCTTAAACTTCGTGCTAAATCGTAATATTTATCAACGAGAGATAAAGAAGCTGGCTCATAGAGTAGTTTGTTGGTAGTAACGTATTGCCAGGTTGTTTGCCTGGCTGGTAGCTGGTGCAGTTGTCGACATATCAATCGCGTGAGAAGCATCAAAAGATTCATCACTATTGTGGCAGATTCGCCTTGATTTCGATTACTGAAATTAATGTAGCTAGTTAATTTAGCTGAAATTAATGTCATATGTTCGGTTTTCACCGCCATTACCAGCGCTGCGACAACGCCATCACCAGAGGCGTCGTGATTAACTAGCCCTAATCTCTTCTTGATCGGAGAGTGGATCTATAGAGTTCCGTTGATCCACACGGCAGTCTGTTTCGGTTTGAAAATGGTTCAAAGATGCTCGGGCAAGATCGCGAAATTCCTGCTGTTCGCTTTCAATTTCATCTTTCTATTGACTAGCATTGGAATACTTGCGATTGGCGGACTTGGGCAATACTACCTGCAGAAGTCAGGCCATACAGTTGGACAGAATTATCTCTCCGTGCCCATCGGCCTTATCGTCATCGGTGGCGTAATTTTCATACTCGCCTTTTTCGGTTGCTATGGTGCCACGTATGAGAGTTATGCTATGTTAATGATATTCGTGGTGCTGATCACCATATTGTTGGTTATTGAAGTAGTTGTAGGCTTCATGTTCTACACGAATCAAGAGCGTGTATTGCAGATCACTCAGATGAATTTAAAGAAGACAATGGCAGATTACTGGAAAACGTCGGAGCTCAATCCGGCTAAATACACATGGGATTTTATGCAGGAAAAACTCGAGTGCTGCGGAGTGAAAGGTCCCGCTGACTGGTTGGTTTATAGAGGTCTGCCGGAGAGCTGTGGTAGGCCGCTATACCACAGGAAAGGGTGTTTCGAGGCAGTTAGAGAAAAGCTCAATGAGTTCTCAAACCACGCAATGACTATTGGCATCCTTCTTAGTGCAATACAGGCAATTGCAATCTGTCTTGCTTGTACGTTGGCCAATCAGTAGACTTTATAGTGCCGGGATGATCGGGTTGAAGACACATTCGGCGTAAACAGAGATACTTGGACATGCACGCTGGCATCAAGGACCCGCAAAACGGACACACTCAACTGACGATAAGCGTTCCTTCACTGGACGGCCTTCAGCGAAACTGTCGGCAGCTCGCCTACGGCAGTGCACATTTTTGATGAAACCATTAGCCGCATTATGACACTACTTGTTGGTGTGCAATTGCTACACCGATCTTCTCGGTATTTGGCTTTTTATTATTACCTACATTACAGGCTACTTGGAGTTAAGAAGGTTGAATCACTGGTCCATGGTCGAACAATCCTGGCGTGGGGTCTAAATCTCTGTAATCAGAATGAATAAATACCATACGCATGTTCAGTGAATCTCAAGACGAGGTCAGTGTATTGTAACAATAGCTGATTGATTGATTGATTGATTGATTGATTCATTGCAACGGCGAGGGTTTAGCGTGCTGGCCGCACGCAAAGGTACGCTATTAGAACGTAGACAAACTAATCTTTCTCGCACGAGAGGTGTTTGAAACAAGTGCGTAACAAGCGAATGATAATAATGGCGCCATTATTATCCCGAAACTATGGAATCGCCATAGCCATACGGAAAAACCCTAGGAAATATTAAAGCACGCTCTATCATTCCGTCTTGGAACGTGGTTCAAATATTATTATAGCGGTAGCCATCTTGAATATCCCGGTGATTTATTACAAGCGTAAGTTGTTATGTTCTATTATAAATATTCAATGTTTTATCATAAACAACCTGCCGGCCCGCTAATACTCATACGTATAAAAGTATTTCATTAGTTCGGACCACAGCGCCACTATGTACGATTTGTCAGTTTGAGTTTTTTGAACTCTTTTTACAATTGATCTTGCGTAGCCATCTCCCTAGAGCAGCTACGTCTATGTTAAGGCCAGTGCAATTGTAAGCAATCGCTGATAACGAAGTGCTGTCGCGCCCGATGGGCTCGTATCGTGCATGCGGACTCAGAGCTAAGTAGTTGAATGATTAATGGGTTTCATTCTCGCGTGCTGTACCATTACGTGCGGCAAGTAACGGCCGTTGCGTCCCGCTGCGACGCCCAGTTGGCATTAACTGTTAACTTACCTGTCGACGGGAAAAAGGACGGTTCAGCTCATCTTGCCCAAAAGATACCTGTCTCGCTCATCGAGCAATAAACTGTTCACACGCAATTAAAACGCTGGATTATACGATCTCAATTAATATCCGAAGGTCATATCATACGAGATGGGCGGAAGTACGGCAGATAGCTGCTTGCGATGTGTGTTGTTCGCGTTCAACTTTTTCCTCATGATTGGTGGTGTCCTCGCAACGGTCATCGGCGGTGCCACGATAATGTTTGCTTCGAACTTAAAACATCTATCGAGTCTTGCCGTGTTGACGTTTGGGGCTGTCGTCATCATTCTAGGATGCTTCGTAGTCATAGCAGCCTTCTTCGGATGCTGTGGAACGTTTTGTGAGAACTCCTGCTTTCTCGATACCTTTGCTGCTATGTCGATCGTTTTGCTGTTTGTTGAGATAATTATCATCGTCCTCGTATTCCTTTACTGGGACGGCATGCAGGAGATGACAAAGACTCGTTTAAAGGAGACCCTGCACGACTACTACGATAATACAATGGCAAAAGATTCCTGGGACTATGTGCAGGAGCGCTTCTGGTGCTGCGGTGTGAACGGATCGAAGGATTGGCTAGAAGTTCCGGCGTCAAACGGTACGACGCCGAAATCCTGTGGTGAGCTCCCAGTAACAAAACCAGGATGCATTGAACAGCTAAGATGGAAGATGCGCAAGTGCATATTATTTGTAATTATAGTTGGCTCAGTGATTGCGATCGTTGAGGTCAATGGCATCATTATCGCGTGTTGGCTAGTGAGCCAACGCGGTGGTATTCTAACCTCAAGTTGAATCACACTGTGAAGACCAACAGAAGTAGCTAAAGTGAAGAAGTATGTACTTTAGTGAACACAAGTGCAGATACGTGGTCCGGCAGCAAATCGTTGTGATTTATTTGACGAACGCAGCTGAATACTACATTATTCAAGCGTCGCTAGATTTGGATTACGACGCAAGGTTTTTAAGCTTGACTTCTAAGACCGGTTCATTTCGACGTGCATATCGATAGTGCCTTATTTATATTTGACAACAAGTTGCAGTTGACAACAAGTTGTAGTTAACATTAAGTTAAAAGAGCGACCCACGATGATACAACAAAATGGAAGGTGAAACCGTATCTGACTTAATAAAAACAGATTCGATCTTTGTTTGTCGGCAAACTGAAGTCCGTTAATGCATCTTGTCCTAAAATAATTGTAACTTCAAGGTAAATTAACTATATGATGTTTAAGATTGTCGATTGCCCCAGATGACACGGTCTATAAAGTTGACAGTAATGTCACTTTGAACAGCCGTGAGGTGCTGAGGTAGTCACGGAGCACAATGCGATCGTAGCGGGGTACTATAATAGCACCGGGTAATAATATAATGAAACGTGTAGATTTTTTGCATGGGAAATTGCTTTTTACAGAAAAAAAGGTTTCTGAGTATAACGTGAGCTGACATATCGAGGTAAAGCAGACGATATAGGTAAAATGATTTCTTCTGTTTACACGCTGTGATAACAAGCCCAATCGATTTTTGTTAGCTAAGTTATTTTCATACAGTTAACATAGGAAGGTAGGGAGTTAATTTCAGCTTATTATAGGCGAAAGTTCTGTGCAAGCAAGTTGATAAGTAAACTAGTCATTCTGACTCAACAAGAATATATGAGTCATATTTTTGACGATAGCTTTACCGGTCGATATGAAAACATCGGAGTACTTCTCGTGGGGGCAAATTCCGGCGTTCGCTGTTCGTAGTATCTATAATATTGCCAACTCGTTTGTGCTATTCTCCATTGTTATTGCTGGTACAAATTGTACTATCCGTATTGATGTTGTATCCAGCTGTACGCAGCTGTCGGCATGAAGCATACTCCAGAGCAGTGTCTTCTGGCGTGATTGTAAACCCCTGTAAACCCACCAGGTGCCTGACCACGTAGTGAATAGAATCGAATGCGCGGTAACATTTTTTGGCAGGCGCTTTGTATTTCAAGGACGGCAATGTTTTCCAGCACACGATGGGACGCTGGTGCTGAAATGCTACTGCCATTAAACGTTTGTTGCTTGCCCTCGAACTTTGTGTTTGAGTCAACTTAATCTGACCTAACAAACTGCCATGAAACGCGCGTCACGGATATGCATGCGGGCCAGATCGACCTTATCGTCGAAAAGATGAACAAATGCGACGTAATGCACTGGCTGCACTGCTCCGAACGGTCAGTGATAGACACATTTGCATATGTATGAAGTGTTTTAGCGTGACTGTGAGCATAGCAAATTTCGCTTACAGTATTCCCACATTGGTCCCAACAGGTACTTCTTACAACAACAACCGTTAGTGCAGTTTCCGTTTCGATTGGACCTACTACACTGAGCCGCACCTTCGCAACCTTTGCCGTTACAGCGTTCGTAGCAAAGTTGTTTACTGATAACTTAGGCTGCGGTGTTGATTACGCTGCTGCCGTTGGAGGTCCATGGCAGGGTCCCTTCATCTTCATATCATGGTACAACGAGACGCTGCGCAAATCCTACTCGCGCAACGAAGGCTAGAGGCAACTGCGACAGTTGTCAGTCGCGGTTGTCTCTAGCCTTCGTTGGGAAGATGTTGCGAGATTTGTCGATGACCTACTCAGGAGATAGGGCGTTCAGATAGTCAGCAGACGGGACACGAGATGCTTTTTTTCGCGATACTTCCTACCGCTGCCGAAGTTGTCTTCGTCTTCGAAAAATGCACTTCGACGCACCTCTTCATGCGTTGCCGGACGCTGACGTTGTCACGGACACACAAAAACAAATTAAAAAAAAAAGTGTATATTAACCTCTAAACATTTTCAATTATGAATTATATTGAGACTGAATAAGTAAGACGATATTCGTTATCGATCCTTGGGTTGATCTGTGGAAGCTTACTTGATGTTCTTGCGGAACAGCGGAAATTCGAAGAGTAATCGCCACTCCTAGTCGTATTGTCTCCTGACGGCATCGCGTAAGGGAAGCACCAAAGCTGTTAGGGAACTAATAACTATTGGACCGAAGTATTGGCCATCGTGTCTAGACAGCGACAGCATGAAGTAAATGCTATTCAAGTCATGACACTTGTAATCGGCCAAAGAGCACTCGCGGCTACCATTGTTAAGTAGCTTAGGATCGTCCATTGGAGGGGCTCCTCGCTATATATCGAAAAAGTACTAGGATAAAGGATATTACTATAATAACGGTCATCGAAGGCTTCTGCCAACGCCAAAGCCAGCAGAACTGAGTTACCGGACCCCTGCTTATGTTTCTCAGTAAGCATTTGTTCAGCCTTGATCCTATTAGGCTTATTGGTAAGCTAATAAAGTACTCGTACACCTATCACATATATATATATAGCATTGGTGTATGAGCATAGAACAGCATAAAGCTAAAGGTCCGTTTGACAATTTGCTTGAGCAACAGCCTGGAACTACTGTACAGGTCAGACAAGTTGGGCTTGAAGTTGTAACTGTGGGCATAACTGCCATCTGTTGGGAAAGTTATCGATCCACGTCCATCACCTGATGACGTTTGGTTTTTGCTATGTTATATTAACATAATTATGTTAATATTATTAACCATCCTTCGGTTTTCTAGCGTCTATCGAGAAACAAATATATTTTTGCAAATTGTCGCCGCAATCTTAACTAGTACCGTGATAAAGGTGGCAAATGAGTCCAGAGCGGTATTTAGAGCGGCGATAGTTGTGACGCCGAGACTTGCTCCACTGATAGTGAACGTAAAGAAATGATAAATACTAGCTGATCTTCGTTCAAATTCCGGAAAGACATGTTTTTTTCGAAAATAACGAGTGAACGTATGCCTTCTAAAGCATGTTCGAAATTAAATGTTCACTCCTATTTAATTGTATATTAATTTCTATAACAAATGAGCAGGCACAGTCATATCATCGTTGGATCTGCGTCTGCCGTTACGGATCTAGCATCATGGAAATCTATATGATTGAATACGAAGAAAAACAATGGTAGTAACTTGTACACACGTGAGGTATATAATAGAAAATCGATACGAAACCTCAGTTGGTTGGCAGATCTTCGTAGTAGAAGATAACGCATCTGTAATTTGTGGGCTGGCTCTGAAGAGCAAAAGAAATGTTTTCTCCAATTTCTTGGGCTTCTCAAGCTCGAGTACTTCCGTCCAATATCAACACTGTAATGGTAAAGGGAATCGAAGCTCTAGCGGCCGTCTAATTTCTAGCGTCTAGTAACATGTCGGGCTCGGTTAATAGTTTCATTCAGCGTGTATCTATTGATACCTAAGTCTGGTATTTTTCTCTTATTTATGGCGACAAGAGTGTCACTTTCGCTCTATAGTGACTTTAAAGAAGGCTCGCATACGGTAACGCCCGTACGTAACCTTGTTCAGTATATAGCTGTTGTTTATTTAAAACTCGATCGTCATGTTTGCACCCGATCGTCCTTGAACGATTTGAGATCATCCATGGGATAGCGAAATATTATGCAGATGCATGATAATAGGTAGTGCGTTCTCAGCAAACGCGTCGACTAGGAGCATGTACCAGCAGTCCGAGACAATCCGGGCTTTGTGATGATTAAGAGATTGCTTATAAAGACAAACCACATCACTGTCTTGACCCAGGTGAAGATCTTTGCTTGCTGACCCACCAGCTTTCGTGACAGCCGCTGCACTGGCGAAATACAGCTTTGATAAGTTTGAAATCCGTCTACCTACCTCGTGTTAGCGTCGAAAGTTCATTCGCTTGTGTAAAAGCACGTTGATCTATTGGTTGTTTGTGATTGTTCTTACAGATGCACGATGCCTACAACACGAACTGGCAGTTTTTACCTAGTAAACGCCTGTCGTAGTATCGTGCTGTTAGGGATGTTAGAACCACCAAAGAGGCCGGACCACTGATGATTATGTGCGACGTTAAGAGTATTCGTTGGCAACCATTGAACAAGAAAGTCCGCTTTGGGAACGACAAGGCCGGCGCTGTGAAGCTATCAATCCATTTCGTATATATTCACACAGATATGTTTGAAATCGTTGTATTCGCTTCTCAATAGCTGATTCAGATTTCGGAATAAAAAGTATGGATTAACGTAAAAACGGAATTCGGTTAATACTACAAATACGAGCGGTATTCTATCAGGTTCATCATTGCGAAAAGTTGAGTTTTGCACAAGTCATGGAACTGTGCGTTCCTTTAGTGCTGGCACGTAGATCTCGGAGACCTAATATTCTTATAAGAAACTATTTTTTCGTTTCGGGTTTTTGATGATCAACTAGGCATCACCACGTCACCACCCCATACCCGGGTTTCTCCTCTTTCGATACAGTCATTAATGCCTTGCATTGAATTTAAAGCGTTTCTTGCATCAATGCGTTAACATTTTCCTGATTGTGCGTGCTTATATCGATGCCCATTGAAGCAGGGCGAACTAATAACGCCACAAGCTGCTAACAAATACTCGCAGCAGTAGATATCTCCAGCGAAGGAATGGCTGGGAAAACTAGAGCGCAGACGATGGTCTGCAAGCTGTCTGTGAGAATTTACATAGAATCTATCTATAGGTTAGGGTTTGTGTTCGTATCCGCCCGCTTTTACCTGTTATGTCCTTTATTTGTCCCTTTCATACAGAACGAAACAGGTTTTCGTCTGGTGCTTAGAATTTCCTTTATTCGTGCTAAAAACAACTCTACTAGAAACTCTGTTTTGGCAAAACAGCCGCGGCTAGCAGCTGCAACTCGTTTTCTTTGAAAATCTGTTGTTTTTTAGAATCGTAATATCGTCCGCAGGTGGAAACTCGTATAGATAGAAGGTGAACGTACGTGATATATATGTGAACTTCCGCATTAAGGGCTAAGTTGGCGGAGTAGATGTTTTCGAGGGTCGTCCTAGCCAGTGGCTGACACATCATGCCTATCTATCGTCGTTCTTGCTGTTATTTACTACTAACTCCGAAGTTGCAATTCCTGTCGCCATTATTCGTTCTCTCCCTTCCTACCACATTTGAGAGTTGCGCTTATTCGAATCGCTAAATTTCCTACTGCTGCTGCTACTGCTACTAAGGCTGATGTCGTGCGAACACTTCTTCTCAATGTTAGCATGAGTGGAGCCACACCACTGGCCTTCTCGTGCCGCTAAAGAGATCACCTTTTTCTCATTTTGTTTTTAACTGGTGAGCACATAACGGTTTAATGGAATCTTGAAACAGCCATATGGTGGGTTGTGGGCCCGTTAAGAGTTTCGCCCAGGATTCAACAATTGGCTACTTATGTAAAAGATATTTCCGTTGTACCTTGCATCCGTGTTGATAAGTCAGTTTCTTTTGTGCGATACGATGCGCAGCTGTCGATGGCTTGTACTTATCGTCCAAGTAAGGAAATGGCTTTCGGAATTGATATGACGGGAAGTTGCGCAAGGTGTATAAAGCTCGTGCTGATAGCATTCAACATTATATTTGGAACCCTTGGTGTAGTAAACGTATATTGGGGAATACTTTTATGGGACAAAACAGGTGGCCACATAACAGGCGTTTATGGTTTGCCATTCTTCAAATTTGTCGGTGGGTGTTCAGTCGTCTTCGGCGCCACACTCGGGCTCACTGGTGCCTGGAAAAGGAGCCCATGGTTTCTCACGGCATACGCCATTACACTAGGTATCTTATTGTTCGTGGAAATCTTCTCGATTATTCTCACGTTCATCGCTCGAACGATGGTATCTACCAGGCAAAAACAGGCTTACGAGACCATGCAGAAATACTATACAGACGAATCGTCTAGAAACTGGTGGGATGCACACCAGGAGCGTTTCCAGTGCTGCGGTATTAACAGTGCCAAGGACTGGCAATTCATACAAGGTAGCCCAAACGAACCACCATGGTCCTGTGGCGAGGCTCCATTTATTCGGCCAGGATGTTGGGAATTAATAAAGAAGTACGCTGAAGAACGTTTTCTTTATAGTGAGATGATAGATGTAGCCGTCCTCCTTCTGGATCTGCTATGCATAGTCTTCGCCAGCTGCCTCGCCAGCAAATGTCGTGACGAATGTGTTCACCAAGAGGACAATAGCGGAACCGTAGAAGCTGGTACAAGTAGCTCGTCAACGTAGGCTTTGCACGTTTTTCACATTCATTGACTCATATTGAAGTAACATGCCTGGTCCCAGCAACACGCTGTCGTAGTCGCTAGATGTCGCTGATGTTGTGTTTCTAAATAGTTCTCTTTGTTTACAAAGGTTGCGTAACATACGTAGTCGGCGGGACATGCATTTACATACACGTTACGAAGTAGTTTAAACGACATCAAAAGCGAAAATAGCCACTGTGAATAATTGTGACCTTTACACTTACATTTTATACATATATGACGTTTATACAATCAGTTTATCAACGTGCGGAGCTTATAGAAGTTGTGTCGAATTGAACTTATCATAAGCCAATGTAGTCGAAGCAACGGAAAAGGTGTTGTGTCATTTCTGTTCAGGGTGCTCTAGTGTATATGGAATAACCATGAGTCTTTTTGTTGCGAATGACACCCTTCCTGATCTAGTGCAATGGCTCCATCATGGTTAACGTTTTAAACTCTCCGAGTAGGCTAAGATAACTAGGCTTCGCTCGGATTAAGACCGATATTTTTGTATTGTACAAAAACGATAAAGGTTCAGGTGATCAGGCAAACGACTCTCAAGCATATCATAAACATCGTTGTGTGGACGGCGTTACAATACAAACGATTATATATAAAGTTTTCAGTCGTCAGAGAAACCGACCTATTTGATTGAAGAATACACTCTGACACAAGAAGCCAAACAAGCAATTTTGACCTTTAATACTCGTAACCACTCCAATGATGTTGAGAGTGAAAACAGTTAAAATGAAGTTGAAGTAAAAAGTTGTCATGAGCAGCTTCGATGGCAATTACTGAAATTAATCAATAATTGAAATTACTGAAAACTGACTCAGTGTCCCATGACGCTGTAGCATACGCAATAAGTTGATCCTATTTTTTTTTTGCTTCACTAAATAAATACAACGCAGCTGAAGGCCAAATATATGACATAGCGATATGATGATGGTGAAATACATTTTCCTAAATAAAAATTAAAGAGATAGTGACCTAGCTTTCAAGTGGAGCAAATTATTGACGCTTGTTTATAGCAAGTCGATAATTTGACTTTTGATGGTAGTGATAACGGCTGACATCTATGTTCTGGGCATGAAGCTTTTAAGAGATCTAGCTTCTTTGGTATACAGTGTCAACATACCCGCTTTGAGGTAAAAGTTCAAGCGCACTAATGTACATCGTATTATACACAATACAGTAATATTGTTTATTTAATAAGTGCATATACAATTGTGCACACCCATGCACAGGGGACATTTTTGATAGTACTATTTTTTTCTCTTTTATTTTACTGATTTTTATTCTCGACTGTCTAACATCGCCCGGTAGATGTACGGATGCTATACCGCTAGTAGCGGCCTGTTAGTTCGTCCATCGCAGTTGCCTATGTATGAATTGAAGAGCTGGTGTTGAAATAGTGTGTTGGTTGTCGCTTTTTAGCCAATAGAAAACAAACAAAGATAGCCAAATATGACCCTGGTGCCAATAAGTGGTACGTTTTGTGCCCTTCCCTGTTAAATCTTATCTAACAGCGTACCAAAAAATTTCTCTAGTAGCGTCTAAACAGGCTCGTTCGGCGCGCTTCCAGCCGAGGGTCGAGGCTAAGAGAAATGTTTTGATACTGTTCTACCGTTATTGTGATTGGCAATCAGAAATCGAATGTTTGTCTCCTTTAAAATTAAGGAAAACGAAAATATCAACTATGGTCAGTAGTGATTTTAGCGCAGATTCCTACCGACTGAAGCTATGCTAAAGAGCTCGGTCATGTGCGAAGGGTGCAGAAGATGCGTAAGGTTGACGCTAATAGGCGTCAATGTAGCTATCGCTTTCCTAGGCCTTACAATAATCATTTGGAATGCATCGCATACAAAGGGAGATATAGTTACCCGTGGAAAGGCAGGTATTCTTTCGGGCCTAATAGTATTCGTTTTTGCTGTAGTTGGCTCCTTCGGCGCATATACTAGGAACATCTGTCTTCTTGTCACGTACGCAGTTGTATTGGGCCTGTTGACGTTCACGAGCGCCATTCTCGCAGCGATTTTCTCAAGTCAATCCAAAATACCGCCGTATAAACGACACATGTATTCCATAATGTATGAATACTACCGAAATCAAAAATCTAGAGAAGAGTGGGACGCTATTCAGGAGTGGTATGAGTGCTGTGGCTTCAACGGTCCCTACGACTGGAAGAGAGTTCCATCGTACCCAGGCGTACTGCCAGAATCCTGTGGCGACGTGCCGCTGAATCGAAATGGATGTTGGGAGATTATAGGGTCGTCTGTGGAATCAGTGTTAACGATCAGTAAAGTAATATTTATCACGCTTGCTCTCACGACGTTTATAGGCCTAATTTGCTCATGTTATGTCGCTGTTAGTCCTGAAAACTACGAACCTACACGTACCGGGAACGATGCAACGAGTAGCTCGTAGACTCATACCTGGACCCTTTAGTTATTTATTAATTGGCATGCGATTCAGACGTTAAGTATTCGTGATTTGGCCTGTAGCATTTCGTTGTTTTTCTGCGGCCTAATTTGAAAGGAATTAAAATGTTATTAGTTGACAACGGTAATGCAGGATTGCGTAATAAGTTTATTTCTGTATTTGTTTTATATTGTCGCCAACTGGCAATTAATGCCGATATAAAATAATAAAATGCATTAAAATCTAACTAAAATTATAGACGCGCAATTGTTCCACCAGCCTGATGCATAATCCCCATTACTCTATTGAGCTCGATGCTCCATTAGCGGCATTTTCCTTGCGGCGCAGCTATCGCTTCGTCTCTGTAAATCCACTGCACTCGGTACGCTATTTTGCCGAATACAACCGTTGTCTTCTTTTAGCAGTCTACTCGAAGTTTGTGAGCAAGCTGCCAACATAGCTGTCCAACGTCAATAATTTAAACTATTGGGGCACTGTAGAGCGCTACCGCCAAAAGCCCATCATATCCATCACCGAGGCGTACAGTACCACTTCAGCAGCCCTACTACTGGCAGGAAGGATACCATGGGGATTCAAAGCTGATGAGCAAAAAAAAGCCATGGAAAGTTATACTCGTAGTCTTAACGAAGTGAGATTTAACCCTTATTGCCAGCAAATGTTGCGGGAGGGATTATTGTACGGAAGCAAGCAGTCAGGGACATTAGCCCTACAGTTGCCCATTGTATCGACAGGCTCGTAGGGAAATTAACATCCGATATGGTGCAGTTCTTAAGCCGGTACGCGCTAACTCCGCTAGTTATCTGCAAGAATAGATAAGATACGTTTTCTGATATGCGCACACTGTGGCAGCGGTGTCGACCATAATGCTAGGCCCATATAGGTTACCCTATGCTGGAGCAGACACGGGGCTGAATCACTGAACAAAAGCTCATAGGAGGCGGTAGGCGATGCACTCCGCAGCCTTGTTTAGCACCTCCGAGGACGACTTAACGATGACCTACTTGAGAAGCAACCACTAGAAAAAAAAAAGGATCGATCAAGTGACTAGCCAAAGAGAAGAAACAAGATCTAAGATGGTGACACCTGATGAGCAATTAAATGGCAATAGGTGCAACACTGCTATACGACGGGGTACGTTGGGAGAGAACCAGATGAGGCGTCCCACGAGACCACCACGTCTGATGAGATGGAAAAATATACAGGAAAATGGACCGATAACGCACTCATGAATTCACAAACCCGATAGCCGTAGGTTCAAATTTCAGTTTGAAAATTCTGTTTAAGTTGATCCCGACGCAAGCCCCAATAATATAGAATCCGGAATTTATGTAAGATCTAGATCTGTTGTGCTAATCATGATGTTACCTTGTGCCAGGTGGTTCACCTTTTAAAGTCAGTATGCTTTGTTCTTTTTGCAGTTAACTTATCGCTATGCTACCGTTGACCAGTTACTTTTTCACGAATATTTTCCTGCTTCAATCTAAAGAAATATTAAATGACGTGAACATTTTGGTCAAAATATTTGTTGCCATTTGGAAGCAGTTTATAAAAAAAAATAAAAAAAACAAAAGAGTAGGTTCGAACTTAGGTTGCCGTGCCCCTTATATATATATATAATTTTTGTTTCGCAAAGCGTTAATCTATAAACCTTCTCTATGGTCGATGGGCCTTCATCTTGAGCTATAGTTATTTTCGGCGTACAACCTTAGCAATCATCTTTCCACTGCAAGATCTACTGAATGCACGCTCGGGGTTGGGCCAATACTATTCGACTTGGACTTCATTGGCAACTTACTAGTCGTATGGTGAATTTGTACCATCGCAGCCAAAACGAATGCGAGAGGTGACATCATTTGTGTAGCCCGCACCTCAGTGACTCCAGCTTGACTCCAAGCTTTCGTCATGTCTATGTTAACCTTGAAGCACCTAGAAAGTCTACTGACAACGGACAAGTTAAATGTTCTTTAAGTAGAACATGGGACGTCTTCAATTATCAGCCTTGCAGGGTTTCGTGAATCGGGGCCAGATTAATTTAATGGAATGAGTATTAGGCTGAACTTCGGACATATTCGTGAGCTAGAGTGCACAAAATCACAATTAACAAGGATCCAGGCTACGTGGGCGTTCCATGGCTGATCACTGGGAACATTATTAGACTTAACCTGTTTACAAACGAAAAATCAAAACGAAAATCGATGAACATGAGTGCAAATTAGATAAACAAGCCAAAACAAAAGATTTATGTTAAACATAATTATCTATTTAGAAAAAAGTGGTCGGTTACGAAATGTATTTGTGCAGTATAGTAAGTTAGGGTATACGCACTTGTCGTGTTTCTCAGCCATTGGGCTCAGCCAGTCATGTTTAAAAATGGGTCTGAGTGAACTACGCCGTACATATATGTATAGGATTATTAGAAATATATGGGTCCCTGACGTCAGGTGAAACAATTATTGATGTTGACCACCATACGTCGGACCGAAATGAAATTGTAATGAAAACGTTTGTGCTGTGCACCAGCAGGTTATTGTGTGCACGGCTGTCAGAACTTTCAATGTAAGATCATCAGACGATGCAGATTGAACACTGGACATAGGGGTAACTCCCTATCTGTTACAACAAAGATGCGTGAACCTTGTCATT